CCCCAATCTTTTTTTAAGCTTATAGACTAAAATCCAATTTTAACTTAATCCAAGAGACCTCTACTTTTTGTTAAAGTCCTTTTCCATGCTTCGTCTAATGGCAATCATTCTAAATATGTAAAGCCGTATTTGCATTAAACTAGTCATGTCATGAAGCCATATTTTCTTTCAACTAGTTTAAGTATGTAATCATCTGTACTTAGGGATCGCTAGGCAGTTGCCATGTTTAATCATTGTGTGAAAGTCAACATTCAAGAAAGGCTAATTACCAGATTCTAACTGATCTTAGGAGGGCCTCAATTGAAGATTAATCCCAAAGAGTGTACTTGTTTTAAGTCAAATGTCTTGACTTTTTCGAAGGCAAATAGTCTATCATAGTTATGTACTCTTCAATCCATTACAATTAATTCCCATGTTTTCCTGTAAATGTGAACTTATACTTCCCTTTGAAAAAATGACTGGCCCATCAATATGGTGATATACACCAACTGCTACATCGGTACATCCTATGCTATTAAAACAAGTCCATGACTGAGTAGTAAATAAAGACATAGCTTTTAGATAACATTTCAATGACCATGAGCACTGTCATTTATATAATACAGAAAACTTCAAGCAAACTAAATTCGGTTATACCTAGCTTGGACTAATGCCTGTCCAATTCAAATCGAGCAAAATGATGAATTTATGCACAAAAAAGGATGCCAAAAGAACATAAATATACAAGGCCCATGATAGATCTTATTTTTGAATACATGAACAATTTGAAGTGTATTAAGTATTAACAATTTTTCTTATTAATGTAAGTACAATCTGTGTTTTTTTTTTTTTTTTACTAATAAACTGTAATGTCATTTTGAGTTTTTTTAGGAACTGATATGAACACAGGTGATGCTTAGGAAATCGAGAGTTCTGGTTAGCTTCTTATTGAATTGATATATGACATCAAAAGGAAATAAAAAACAACTTAATAATCTAGTAATTTCTAAGTTTCAAAAGCTTCTGCACTCTACCAAAAGGTTCCTTGATGGTTCAGAAACAACATATGATTTCTGTCCAGAAATTGCTCCAGAATATAGAAGGCTCGAAGATGAAAGAGTAAGGAGGGTTGCCACCATTGATGTCATTGCAAGTGCAACAGTAGCAACTATTGATAACAATGATGATACTGTGGGCGTGGAATCTGTCACATTTAAGGAGAATTTCAATCGAATACCATCCCAAAAGAAAAGTATAAATAGTAAGTCAGACACTCTGTAATTATACTTTGATCATATTTCAAATTTTAGAGGCCCAAATTGAAAAGAAATGTCAAACCAAGTCAGAAGTAAACGATCACATTGTAAAATGTAAGTAGGAGTACGAAGTAAGTTGCATAGCACCAAATCTTTCACTAGTCAAATGCATATATAAGTAAATTTAGGAGAATTGTGAATTATATATTAAGGCAAGAAAACAGTCAAAAGCATATTGAGCTATAAATTTTTAGTTTCCGGGTGAAATATTGTTGTTTCATGCCAGTAACATTTAGAATGCAACACATAAAGCAAAATCAAAGTTATCAAACTGAAAAGATTAATTATTTCTTGTAAATAATGACTTGTCTTAGAATATTTGAAATAGGTAAGAGGCCTTGACTGCATGTGCTAAAGGAGATGAAAAAAGAACTTAAGAACCAAAAAGAACGCAGATTTGAATTTCACTACTCCATGAGGTCACATCAACATGTTCAAGCTAACATGGACCATGCAGCCATATGCATACTGCATACGTATATTCAACTGTATATGCAGCCATATTTTCACTGCTATGTGGCCATTAAGCAGTTGCATAGTATATGCAACCATCTGTAATAATATCACATGCTGAGACTGGATAGGTCTATGCAATGTGCTCATAAGACTGCATGCACATATTGTAGCCACAGCTTTGTCAAACATTGTTTTGTAGTGATCTTAAGCCTAGATGAAGAAATTTGATCCAGAATGATCTGGATTCTAAATCCCACAATCATGATGCGGATCCTATTAAATCTTTGGTGGAAAATGATGAAATGATGATTACCAGAAACCTTAATTGATTTGATAGAAATTTATGTGGCATTATGTTAAGGGAAAATTAGCAAATTAAGGACAAGGTAGTAAGGAGATAGGCAGCAACTTAATGTTGTAGTATAAGATAAAGGAGGAAGATAAACATATGTAGAAAGGCTTAAGAACTTTACAAAAGAGAACACATAGCCACTGGCCAAAGAAAGTAGCTGCACGTACTGCCCTTATTTAAATGCTTCACGGAACTCATTCTAACTAAACAAATTGAAGGGTAATAATTTACTACTATGGAAAATTTATAATCCCATACAATCATATCTAAAAGACATCTAGAACTCACCATTTAGGTACAAAGGGCTTAATAACTTCCGAAAGGTAACATATGTGTAAGCATTAGGACAACTCATAATGGGAACATAAAACCTGATAATAAACTACAAAGAAACTTCACTTGGAAATCCATATAAAATATAAAAGTGGGTCCCATCAAACTGCAGCCAGATCAATCTTGAACTCAGACTAGCACAATGACCAACTACAAATATCTATCATACATTTGCTACCTCCGCAGGAATAGAAATAATTTTATAGCAATGGCTACCAAACCTTTTACTGCTTGCTCAAGAACTCCTCACCATTAAATGTAAAGTTTATTTATATACATGTTGTCCTTTTCTAACATCAGAGGAAACCACATGTATTTCTAGGGCCATTTTATATGTCACTGCATCTGCTAAGGTTTGCATAAATTTTCGTGTTCTCAATGATACAAACTTTTCAGCTAAAATCTGCAAACTGATCCTCAATACGTTGAAGTTAAAAAAACAGAAACAATTATGACATGAAATGATATAAATTTGTGTTTCAGAGTGATAGATGAGAAAGAACTTTTACACACGGAAAAACAGAAAACCTTACAGTGATTCACTTGTAGAAGGTTTGATGCAAGGTTCTTGTTTCCGGCAATATCTGTTGTCCTATTTTCAGGAACTTCCACTGATATCACACTACCATTGCCGTGTATTTCACTAATATATGTGCTCTTTGTTATTTCATGAAAACTAATCTCAAAGCCAACAAGAAACTCTCAGTAGTCAGGGCCACAAAACCAACTTATGTTAAAGCATAGAATGATGAGCTTTAAGTAAAAGTATTCACAAGCAGCGAAAAGCATACCTCAGTATCGATCCTCCAGAAATTATTATAGCTGAAGAATTAAAGTTAAAAACAGGCTTCTCAAAGTTTATCAGCACTGGGATTTTATGTTGTCTGGTCCATATGTTAGAAGTTGTACTCAGCCTTACAGATGGCCTGTCAGCATCTAATTATTCAGGACCAACTAACATGTATCAGATAAGGGTGGTAAAAATAAGTCATGGAAGGATAAAGAGCAACTCAGAAACATTATAGTTCATTTTCTGAAAAAGGAAAGCACCAGGAAGTTTACACAGCTTGATATTGATCTTATCCGTGGAAATTATGTAGAAAAGTTCAGTTTCTAATGTTGCAAACCTACACTAAGTCTTGTATCATCATCATGTAAAGTGACATCTATGTAGTAAAAATATGAATATACTATTTCCAATGGGTTCTTCAAGTGTATTAGATAAAAATGGAAATCATGGATTTTAGTTTCGGTAGTGGTAATTGATGCTGACCGGTTTTGGCGATCTATGACTGATGGTATGCAATTGCCTGCTGTGATTCAAAACTGAGCCCATGCTCATTAAACTCACCCCGTCAGGTTTACTGGATAGGAAGCTGATCGGTACTGACCATACTGTAACATATGGTAAGCCTACAGCCTGATAGCAGTACCAACTCCTTTTTCTAGTTTTATAATATATTGACAACTATTGACAATTTTTTTTTCCCTTCTGTCTCATCCTCTGCCCCCTCTATCTCCACCTCCTCTTCCACCTCCTTCTATTCCTCCTCAGCCACCTCCTCCGACTCCTCTGCCTCCTCCTTTGTCATGTCGTCACCTCCTCCAACTCATCCTCCTACCGCCTAAACCTCTTTCTTTGCCTTTTCCCTTTCTTTTCTCAATCTTTCTCCATGGTCCAAGTGGTACCGACTATTACCAGTCTGTACCAAGCATTAACCAGTGATGGTATCATACCAATTTGGCTATCAATATCAGACCGAGATTTTAATTCTTGATAAAAATTACAAGACTTTTGAATATATCTGGAAAATTAGGTTTCATGCACTAAAATTACAATAAGCTTTTAAAGCATCAACATATAATCATTTATGTAACATGGATATTCATGTGACAATGGAATTTTTCCCATATTCATTTGCCTTTCGTATTGAATTTGTGATTTGAATAATATTATAAGGTAAAAATTTCTAAATTGCTACTTGAAATAGTATTCACACAACCCCAAATTTTCATATCATAGGAAAAAGTCAAAAAATTCTGGAATAGAATTTAAAACTACTAAAAGTGTACCATAAAGGAATGTGATTGGATCTGATGGAGAAACTGGAGTCCCTTGTCTGGTGATTATATATGTAGTATCACAACTTATAGTAACAACAGTCATGCTTGAAATATTTTGTACCTAAAAGAAGCATATACTTGAAGGCATAAATTTTGAAGAAAATCAGATACAATAATTAAAATTTGAATAACTGAAGTGAACGTTTAAAACAACTGACTAGGTAGCCAAACCGACGGTTTCCAAGATTACTCTTATTTGTCGGAACAAGTAAACCACTACTTGCATGAAGAAGATCCAGAATTTCTTCAGATGAATTAAGAACTGGCTCTGAGAACGACAGATAAATTTTCAAATCCCTAGCACTGTTACTAACTTGCACAGTTCGAAGCAAGCCATTAAGTTGAAGTAGCTTTTCTGGAACGTGACTTGTCAAGTTCATGAAAACACTTCTTCTATCTGCAAGTTGCAAAGGAAGAGGAAAGGTGAAAAAGCACTACCAAGACATCGCATATGAGTCTATCTTGATGCTTCAATGTACTACATTAATGAAAAACTAATTACTTAAAAGTCTTAAACCACAGCTTGAAGCCTTGAATTTTAGAATCGATGGCACATGCAAGATATCAACACCATGGACTTAGCTTTGGCAGCATGAAATGTTCAGAGTTTTTTGATCTAGCTTGACACTTCGATAATTCAGGAAGCTGAACATATTATACAAGCATGATATTACTTTTGTAAGGCAATTTTTTTATATATAATTTAATATTTGGAAAAATGCAGAGATAATTATGTTAAATAGTTTCTTCATTCTCACCTCATAGCATAAAAGAAATTGAAGTGAATGCAAATTTTGCAAGTAATATGATTGTCAGGCCTTTTAGACAATCCAGTGTGAGTTTTAGATTATTAAGAACAAATCCAAAAATAAAACCTTAATATATGCAGTTAGATGAAACCTTGATAAGATTAAAGAAGCAATTATATGAAGCGGATAGCATACCAAAATGCAATATGAAACTTGAATCTGATGATTGTTTGAACATGTTCCCAGCATTGTCAGTACAAAATACCTTATCCATTGCCAGTATCAAACGACCAAACTGAACATCAGCTGATATTCCCACCATAAAGGAAAATTTCAGGCCAGGAAGAAGAACCCTTAGAGTAGATGGTAAAACACGGCCGGCTCCATAAATGAGAAGCTATAGAAAAGAGAAGCAATCAGATAATTGACCTTTTACCTTTAAGGAAAAACAAAGGTAGATATGGAAAATCTTAAAGCCTAATACCTGGAAATTATATGGCAAACAAGAATTTATTTCATGTAGGTAAGCACCCAAGACAGAAATTAAGGCACATCAATTAATCAGATAAACTAGCTGGACAAGTCATCCTAATACCATGTCTAAACAGGACAACAAGGGATAGCGAAGTAAGAGATTTCCAACCATGTGAGAAAAGAACAACAATTGCTGTATAGTGAATCTAAAAGGGATAAATATCCTTCAATTCATAGTTTGATGGCCTATCAAGCTGGCTACATGGACTGCGGCAAGTGCCTCCCAACACCACGTATACTCAAATCCTACAAAAATTTCTGTGGCACAAGTTGGCATTTCATGTGTTGATATGCCAATGCTTACCAAACCCATACAAGACCAAATGGGGACTGGCGTGACTCTAATACTAAACAATCAAACCAAAATTTAAAATTTTCAGCATACATACATCGCAATGACTGGGGGAACATTTAAATCCACCTCCACTGGTGCAAGGTTCACTGAAAGAAACATTGACTGAAATATTTAACGCATTTGTGAAAGATGCAGCAGAAATATAGGCAGTAGGGGAAATTGTATCTGCAGTGAAAGGACAACAAAGTCAGAAACTGCAGTGCCTTAACCGTCAAGGTACAGTTTAGCTCAAAGATAAACAATCACCAAGCAATACCTTGAAAATTATTAGGTAGATAATCAGTAGTTATTAGGTAGATAATCCTACAGACCCTTGTCAAGACATGGAACACTATGCAACTTGATATGAAGATATTCTCAGAGGCAATTTTCTCCAAATAGAACTAAGAAGCTGATCCTTTCATAATTTAAGCATGAAATATACAATATACATAATCAATAATTGGAAATTGTGCTGATTTGGAACATTTATTTGAGATGCTGAGAAATTAAATTGATACAAGAAAGACTACTTGGAAGATTAAATGTTTATAATTTAAATTTGTCAAATTTTAACATAAAGCTAAAAGAAGATATCATAGAAGATACATGATAACTTTCATGACAAAATGTCACTAAATTTATCAAAAAAGGAATCAGGAAGACGAGGGCAGTTTCTTTACCAACAGTCCAATTATAGCTGGCACAACGAACTCCTTGGGAACCACTGGAGCAGATCTTAAAGGTATGATTTCCATCGAGCAAGCCTGAGTATGTAACTTCCTTCCGTTCACAAGCAAAAGAATTGTAGTTATCTAACTGCATTATGTGCAAACAGTGATAATTAGAAAGAGAAAAACATTAGCAAACCAATATTTTTTTAAGACTAATTATCACAATAGGCAATTCAGTGAAGGGCTTCATCTTTTCTCTATTTGATACAGTATCTTAACTATTAATTCAAAACATATTCATGACATGACCTTAATGTACAGAAAACATTATATGTGGTGAGCTTTTCCATTACACTGTAACATGTTGCACATGCCTAATAGTAATATTAATTTTAAATTGTTAAATTTAAACACTAAAGATTATTAAATTTTGATGGGAAACAAATAACCATCTAATACACCTACATGTGTGTTTCAAATTATATATCAACTTCTTTCAAGTATCCTTCTCTACACTAATTTTTCAATCATGAAACATTCGTTGATCAGTTTCAAATTCTTTCAGTTTCTTCAATAATATAACTTTTGGATGCTTCCTATATCTGATGAAAAATAGACATTGCATAAATTCCAGTATTTTTGAAACCAACTTCTTCAAATTGTTTTTCTCTAATCTATTGATCTATAAATTATTATAGGCTCTAGGCAACATTAAAGGGAGTGAATAAGACTGTATAAAATTAAAGCTCAAGACTAAAACTGATTCCATTCGAAGCTACAAAATGTTCAAGCATGAAACATCTAAGGTACACTTAGATATCTGCTTCACCAATCTAGCAGCAATCGATGCAGTAAGTTTGGAGATAGTTTAGAATAAGGGAGGCGATAAGAAGGAGAAAGCACGAATTGTTCATGGTGGTTTGGTTATAATCCTCCAGTATTCTATTATAGCACCTTTGCAGGTGAAGGCAACTACCAGACCGCCTCAGCATCTCCTTTCTGAGCTCAAAGAACAATGCCTTACAATAGAAGTCTCTTCTTTCAGTCCAGGTGTTAACACCTGGCCCACAAAATCCAATCCAATGAAGGCTATGAAGTTCATACAACTAATAGCATGAGGCATCTCCTTTCTGAGCTCAAAGAACAATGCCTTCCAATAGAAGTCTCTTCTTTCAGTCCAGTATTAACACCTGGCCGACAAAACCCAATCCAAATAAGGCTTTGAAGTTCATACAGCTAATAGCATTTCCATAGTGTTGAGACAGTTGATCACTGATCGCATCCCTCCAACCATTTATCTTGTAATTTCTCTGTTTGTTACTTCCTATAATTGTTAATCAGTGACATTTTCATAAACTAATGAGCACAAGTTGAATATCTCACTAACATGACGGCGGATCGACTTTGTGACACTGGAAGTTACTACCACAAGAAAAATTCTTTCAAGATCGACCGATTACTTCTTTAAAAGATCTGTAGCATGAAACCACGCATCCAATATATATTAGGATGTAGCTATTGATATTTATGGTGCTTGAAGAGCAAACATGTTCTAAAAACTAGCAAGCAAGTTTTAAATCCCAAAGTAGCCACATGAGAAAGCACCGACGTTGAACATTAGCAATGGGTAAGATACATGATATTGCTATTCTGCATAGTTAGACTCCACAGATTGACGTCATTAGCTCCTCTGTTATACGCATTCCTGCAAAAAAATTTCTCTTCAAACAATATTTGCATCTTTAAAGCTTGCATATTTCCAGATATAATTACTCGATAAGTGCTGGAGCTTTTCTAATAAAAGAAAGAAGAAGCCCCATATTCTGCTCTATGTACTATTTGAGTGCCAATTAGCTGGCACATAGTTTAACTTGCAGATCGATCAAGAAAGATTTCAAGAAGAGAGAAGCTTGTGAAGAGAGCAAGAAGCGGGATTGAACTCACAAACCTTGCAGCTGATACTGCAGTCGTGGCATGAGCTGCCATTCCTCCCCTCCGTGACCTCAAACTGAAATGTAGCTGACGATGAGGCCGAGAAGACCGGAGGGACCTTCAAGAACTTCACAGCAGCATCAGAGTCAACATCTGCATCCACTAAGAGTATAGCCATGACAGTCCAGGAGATGAGGGGAGGGAGCCGGCACAGAGCTCCCCAGCGGCTACCCATCACAGGGGCACCCAAGATGGTGAGCCTCCGGCTGCTATGTGAGGCGGTGGCCCTGCCCAAACAACTCCCCCGCAAGAAAGAAGACTCCTCCTTTGAGCCTGCAGTGTCAAAGATACGTGAACGTGGCCATCTCTCTCTCTCTCTGTCTCTCTGTACGAGGTAGTAGTAGTAGGATGGGAAAACAGGGGAAGAGGCAGGAGGAGGAGGTGGTCGGTTACATCGAAGTGGATACTGCAGATATATATAACAAATGTAAGGCTATAAATGAGTGAAGCACAGCATGAGGGAGGGTTTTCTGATTCCTGAAATATTTGATGATCTACTTTATTTTTAATGATTAATAAACAGAATGTAAATCTAATTCTATAGTTTAATTTCTAAAGGGCTGATTTATGTCTTACAATTCATTCATTGTTAAGTTTATAATTTAAGGATGACATTACAAATGCTTTATTATTAGTCATAATTACAGTATTCTAAAAATTTAAAAATATATATATGTTTTATGCTTGTTATAAATGGATTATAATTGAATATGATTTTTTTTTTTTTTACATTGACTTGTAATGAGAAGATATCAATTATTGACATGTAATAATTTTTTTTACAAATTTTCAATTTTGAAAATGGAAGATAAATAATAATGCATGTAGGTCATGAAATTATATCACTATGGTTTATTGGTTATTTGTGTTCTAAGTTTAGCTACGTATTAGATTAGATTAATAATATCTTAATCTTAATAACATAAAAAAAAATTCTTATAAATGACCCCAAATAGATAGAATTTATAACATCACGACTTATCACTGTTATTAGTAATAATAAAACTATTATAAAAATAAATAAATATTTAAAAAATGATTTTATGTTATTATTATTAGTAATATGTAATACTAAGAAATCAATTAATGCTATGTAAATGAAAGAAAAGAAATATAATTTGTCAATATTTAAAGATAATACAAACATAATGAATGTTTCATCTTGAAATCATATCATTATGGATCATGGATTGTTTGTATTTTAAGTTTAGTTATTTGTTAGACCATATTAGTAAGATCCTGATAGTTGGAGCATTATGATTTATTGTTTTATATATATACATATATATATATATATATTAGATTAATTATATATCTAAAAGTATATTTAATTTTGTAAAAAATGAATAGATTTGAATATGATTCTATTGACTTTTTTATATTAATCTGTATCATTACTAATCTATAAATGCATAAGGTTCATGTCAGCCCCATTGACGCTTGAGTTTGTTATGTACTTCATTTAAATGCGGATTACTCTTCTACTGTTGTGGATTTTCATTTTTCTTTTACTAACCGCAGTGACGAATTAAAAGAACCGATGGAAACCCGTAAATATTTTTTAGATTGTTTAATTGAAATCACGTTATTCGGAGGATAAGGAATTCTAATATGGAAAAACTTTTATAGAAAAAATATTCTTAGAAATAAAGGGTTAATTATCCTATAAATAATAGAAACATCTTAAGATGATAAGGAAACAAACACACTTTATATGACTTTTTTAATAGATTTAGTTAGATTGATGAGATATATACAATTGATTCTTCAAAATTCATATGATCAGAGGGTATAACAAGAAGTGACTCCGAGTTTACTCAAAAGAAAAAGAGCTTAATTTCTTGTATTTACATTATCATCGAACCATGTAAATTTTGTATTTACTATTTTTTGGATTTATGCTGATTGTTATTTGCTTAATTATTCTTATCATGTAATAATATTTCTGGGATTCAATATTAGTTTTAGTCATTTCCAAGATGTAGGAAGCAGTCTCTTCTCACTTTGTTCAGCCATAAAAAGCTGGATCGGAACAGTCGTCCTTTACTATCAGCCTACAGAATGAATGATGAGCTACAAAACAAGCAATGGGTGGCAAAGAATTGGCCTTCCAACTTATGGTGAGGAAGAGAAGCTTTATCCAAGATCGATCGATTGACAAATTAGTTTGGAAACCAACTAATTTCTTTTTTTCTTTTTGTAGATTTATAAAAGTTAAAGAAATTTTTTTTTTTCAAATTTTATCCCAACATAGTGTATTAAAAAATTTAATTTGAACTAAATCAAAAGAGAATTTTATTCTTTATATTTATTATTCTTTAATAGTGAAGGATTTGATTTTTTTATGTAGTTATAGACAATTCTTGTGTTCACTATTTTTATATCTATATTTTATTATTATTATTATTATTTAGTGGGAAACTTATCATGTTGACCCATTTTAATCGTGCACTATTTTTTTAGTTTAATTAGTGCAAAGATGCTGGAAGCCTCTTCTCACTTTTTTACAGCTAAAGGCTGAAACAAAACAATCACATCCTTCACTGTCATTCTAAGAGAATGAATGATGAGCTACAGCACAAACAATAAACAATGTGTAGCGAAGAATTTTAAGACATTGACATATTCCCTAGCTATTTATAAAAAGGGACGATTTTTCTTAATAGAGTAATAAAATTTCTTTAGATAATTAAAAAAATCTTATCTGCTATCATGCCCCCACAAGATGATACTCCTATCAAGGAGACCAATCTTAAATCGATGCAATGCAAAAGGTTTACGAGCGACATGCTTCGTGAGTGAGTCGACTAATTGAACAACTTGAGAAACACAAAGTTGACGACGAGAAACTTGATCACGCAGAAAGTGGAAGTCGATAGTAATATGTTTCCTACGGGAGTAAAATATCGGATTAGCACACAAATAGGAAGCACGACATTATCATAATATATTATAAGAGTGAAATTGACGTTGAGTTCCTGGAGGAGATTTGTGATCCAATTGAGTTTTGCAGTGGTAGTGGCAATGGCACGGTATTTAGCTTCAGTCGTAGACCGTGCAATTATTTTTTGCTTCTTAGAACTCTAACTTATTGGATTAACACTAAAAAAAATAATATACCCCTATGTGGATATTCTATCATCAAAGTTGCATACCCAATTAGCATCAACAAAGGCATGAAGATGAAGCGAAGAGTGTTTACAAAGAAAAAGACCATGATTGAAGGTTCCTTTAAGATACCGCAGAATTCATTTGACCGTAGACTAGTGCATAGTAGACAGTCTCTACATAAACTATGATAATTTGTTGATTACAAAGGAGATGTCTGGACGGGTAAGAGCTAAGTACTATAAAGAACCAACAACTTGACGGTATTGAGTGGGTTCCGTAGTAGGACTTCCATCAGATAATTTGAGAGAGCCACTAGCAGAGAGGGGGGTTGTAACTGCATTTGCATCCAGCATGTTTGTCTTTAATAATAAATCTTGAATGTACTTTCGTTGTGATAAAAAGAGACCTAAAGATATGAATGTAGCTTCGACGCTCAGAAAGTAGCCCAAGGGTCCTAGATCATTAAGTAAGAATCGATCTGCCAACTGTTTGATGAATGTTTGGATTTTGATGGGATTGTAGCCTATGACAATAATGTCATCCACATATACTAGAATATATATATAAATAACGAGGTGTTAGATTTGGAGTTGAGAAAGCCAACGGAAGTAAAAAAGGAGCTAAGTTCAATGTACCGAGCTCTTGGAACCTGACAAAGTCCATAAATGGCTTTCCGAAGTTTGCAAACATGCTTTGGATACTAAGGATGAGTGAAACCAGGCGGTTATTGCATAAAAACATATTCGGTTAGAAAACCCTATAAAAAGGTATTATTAACATTCAATTATCATAATTGCAGCCTTTAGTTGTGGCCAGACTCAAGATAAGCCAGATTATAGTGGGCTTAACAACGGGACTAAACGTCTCTGTAAAATCAACTCCAAGTCATTGATGAAACCCTTTGGTGATGAGGCATGCCTTATATCGGGCAACAGAGTCATCTGGGTTCCGCTTAATTCGAAAGACCCACTTACACCCGATGATGTTTTTTGAATAATGAAAGGGTATTAGATCTCATGTTGAGTTATGGATGAGGGCATTATATTCCTCACACATTGCGCTACGCTAATGCAGAGATTTTTGGGCTTGAGTGAAGATGGTATGTTCATTTGGTGGATGATGAATCCATGATAGCATGTAGGTTAAGGACTTGACGCGGTTTGAAAATACCACTCTTAGATTATGTGGTCATAGGATGGTTGGAGACTACATGATCGGGAGGCTGTGTTGGTGGTATAAGCGATTAAGAGTCAGTGGCACAAGCCGGGTTAAGTAGAGACACGTCAGGGGCACTTGGTCGAGAAGGAGGTAAGGATAATGGTTATGTTTCGGAACTTATTACCTCATCAATTGGAGAAGAAAGGACTGGAGTAGGAATGGGCAATTGCTGAACTAGAGTAGTATAGTGTGGATCATGAGGGGAGGAACTGGACGATGTCATGGGAGGCTCGTCCGGTTGGACCGGAAGCAGTGAGGATTGGATAGTGAAGTGGTCTGCATGGCAGGATAGTGACGGTTGTGGAAAGGAAAGTTAGACTCAACAAAAATAACATAGCGTGATATAAAGACTTTGTGAGTGTGGAGATTATAGCAGCGGAAAGCATTATGTTTTAATAAGTAACCAATAAAGATGTAAGGAGTAGATCTTAATGTTAACTTATAAGAGGCATAAAGACGTAACCAAGGATAACATAGACAATCAAACACTCTGAGTTTACGAAGGTTTGGGGTTTTGTGAAATAGTGTGTCAAAGGGGGACTAGTATTATAGTACTGGTGTAGGTATTCTGTTAATAAGATAGACGACAGTTTGAAAGACTATGGTCTAAAATGTTGAAGGCATGGAAGCCTAATGTAGAAGTGTGAGCCTAGTTTATACTATATGCCGATATTTACGTTCGGTGGAGCCAACTAGTTGAGGAGTATGCGAGGGAGACTTGAGATGTTGGATTCCACAAGTTGAGAAATATGATGTCAAAGCTTGATATTCACTACCACCATCAGAGTAGACCATTTTGATCGTAGACTGAAAGTAGTTTTCGATCAAATTTCGGAAAGTGGGAAAGATGGTGGAAATATCATATTTATGGTGAATAATATATAGCCATGTGTACTTAGTGAAGTGATATACAAAAATGACATAAAATATGAACTTATCAAAAGACATGATTGGAGTAGGACCCCAAACATCAATATAAATAATTTTAAATG